CGATTTCAAATCCGTTTTGACAAAACACTGAAAGCTCTTCCATCACCAAAGTGAAAACATTCATCTTCATGTAATCTTTTAGGCCAGCCAAGACCAAAGAAACTCCAGATTTTTGGAACAACCAAGATAAAAATAACCAAAAACCGAGCAAAGGGGTAGGACAGTTTCCCTGTTCCAATATAGTCTTGCAGGGTAAGATTTGGTAGTTAAAGGACCCCTAAGAAGGAAGGAAGCAGGTTGACTCTTCCGGCAGCTTTAAAAGATGCAGTCATTGATTTTTCTAGTCTCCTGATCTTGGAATCTGAGTGTCACTTAAAAGCAATTTATGGGGTCTCATTTATCTCTGTTGTTCCTTTTCTGCCTCCCCTCTTCCCACTCTAGTAAAATGTCGATTTGTTGGAGGGTGTGTGTGCATGTTTGCCAGGGCTGTTTTGAGGGTTAACGTTCCATCTGGTGCCCCTTGGAAGAATCCCAAAAGAGCTGCTTCAGTTACAAATAATTAGTTACTGGTGGGGAGAACCCACAACCCGAGATGGGTGGGGAGGAGCATCTGGAAAGGAAGAAGATGGATGGGAGGAGGTGAAAACATAAGGCCATTTCTTATCTTACGTGGCAGTCAGTGCGGATTTTCAGCAGTGCCTGCACTGAACATGGAACTTCATAAAGAATTTCTGTCTAAGAAAAGAGTATTTTTTAGGAAGGAAGAAAGGCTATGTTTTCTGGAAATCAGACTAGGATTATGGTACTTGGAGCTATAGATATCCAAATAACCACCAGATGACAGCAAAATAATTTATCTTTGCTGCCTTCTAGTGGTTACTTGAATTTTTGCAACTAAATATGATAGCCCCCAAAGCTCCATCTATCTCACTACTGACTTCATTTGATGGAATAATATTTAATGCATGAGCCAAGCACTGACCTTTTGACTACTCTTCATTTTTCATCGTAGATGCATAAAAGTAGACAAGGGGGTAGACCATGTTGAATAGCATCCATCCCCCTTCTTCCCCTCAGAGAAAATGGAAATTATGTTTAATTAAAAAGCTGGTAACAATGGGAGAAAGTTCAACTTACTTTTTATATACTGTGCAAAGTTTCCAAACAAAATCCAGTGAAGACCAAGGCAAGGTGAGAGGAGGACGATGGTGCTGTGAGATGGATTCTCAGTGTTTTACATTAGGTATGAGATATAGCTCAACCAAAAGGCCACATGATTCTGATTGGAGTCTTGGATAGCTCATGTCTGAACGTTATATAAATTATAAGGGTGGGTAGCAGTTGAATTTTGAAGGGGGAAGGTACTTCAGAATGCATGTGGATAAGCTTAGCAAATATAGAATTTCCCAGGGTTGTATTGCAGTACANGGACAAATGGCTCCACGTGCCACCTGTGGCACGCGTGTCATAGGTTCGCCATCACTGATCTAAGTCTTGCCCTTCATTCTTTGTGGCTGAGTCAATGTGGAAGGGATTTATTTTCCTGCCCTAAGTGACAGTCTGACAATTGGGGGTCAAGTTTATGTGAGCAAGCTTAAGGGAGGGAGTGGAGTAGCATATGGGGTGGGCTAGTATCTCTGTTTCAGTGTTTTCCATTCCTTATTTCTATTCCCCCCCTCCAAATTCTCAAACGTGCCTTTTTTAAAAAAGGCACTAAAATTTGAATGCATCTTTTCACAAGCATTTCTCCCATTTTATACATTTGCATGTGTGACTTTCTCCTATGTTGTAAACAACTTTCCCCAGTTTATATTCTAATATAAGAACAGCATAGTGGAGCTGCAGGCTACATTAAGATATATATTTTTTAAACTATCTAGAAGAAGAAAGACAATAGCACATAATTTCCATGTTGCTGCCAAGAAAATTGCATGGTTTTGTCATTGGAGCCACCAGGAAATTCAACTTGAAGTTATTTTAATCTCCCTTCCCTGCTTCTTTTCCCTTTTTCCAGGATAATGTGTGCTGTTGCCTAAATCTTTCCTCTAATATACTTCTTAAAAATGGGGAATCAGCAATGCAGCATTTGAGAATTTCATACGAAATTTGAAGTTTGGGTTCATGAATTAGCTCTCAGGGAGGGTTACATTTGCCTTCAAAAGCAAGCCAAGGAATTTCTTCTTCCTCATATAGAAAAAGGTGGGAGGAGAAGCAAATTGCAAACCAGTTGTAAGCTGGGAAAGAACACAAGAACCAAAGCTGACTTGATCTGGAAGCTTCCCTAGACAGGTAGATGGGGGAGATCCTTGGGGAGGAAATTATACCCTGAACATGGAAAAGACAATCCTGCTTTTTGGAGGGAGAGGGATCTCAGTCTTGAAGGACTCCCTATAAACAGGGAGGAGAACATCAGCCAAAAGGTTCTTGCTTAAAAGCTAATTTTGAAAAGTTCTCAAAAAAAAAAGCCTCCAACGCTACCACATTCCCTCTTTCAGAGGTTATATTTAATGTTCCACCCATCTCTCCAAAACTGGGGGTAGAATTTGTTATAAGTCACTGGATCCTTCTCTCTTTCCCCCTCGCCTCTCTCAATGTCCCCCTCCCTGGCTCCAGCCACTCACCGCATATGGCATCTTTGTAAAGCATTCAAAATGCTAATTGCTAGCAGATGCCTCTATGAACATCTCCAGGCAGCTTCCTTTGCCCTTCTTCACACTGCCTGATCCTTTTCTGTTCAGCCTGTAAATGCTGTTTTGGAAGAATCCTGGATCAAATGCAGATCTGAAACAGAAGGAGAAGACACTGACCAGGTGCCCAGTTCAATTCTCAGAGTCACCTTGGATGCGTGTGTGTCTAAGGTCACCGGCTCCAACTGAAATCTCTGCATGGTTCACAGCCTCGTAAGAGTTGAAGTCCAGTATAGAAGAAGAAGTCAAACAGATCTGATCAATGAGATACAAGTAATCCTCATTTAACGACCAGTAGGTAACAATCATTTGAAGTTAGGATGGAACCCCAAAAAGTACTTATGAGCTAGATTGGATATTCCAGTGGCTATTCCCCCTGGGCTTATGTGATCACATTTTGGATGCTCAGCAATCAACCCATATTTACTTCTGTCTTATAGCATCCCATCGTCATGTGACCACAATTGACATTATTTGCCAGAAGCCAATGTTTACTTCCAGCTTCCTGAAAAAAAAGTCCACTGCAAACAATTGGTTCACTTAATGACCACAATGTCTACTACTGCTACATCACCTTTAAGACCACCGTGTTTGCTTAACAATTGCTCCCAAAAAATGTCATAAAATTGGGTTGGTTGCATGATGACCTGATGAATGATTGGAATGATTTACAACCATAGAGCCAATCTCAGTTATAGCAATAGCACTTAGACTTACTATATACCACTTCACAGTGCTTATACAGCCCTCTCTAAATGGTTTACAGAGTCAGCCTATTTGCCCCTGACAATCTGGGTCCTCATTTTACCCACCTTGGAAGGATGAGAGGCTGAGTCAACCTTGAACCTGGTGAGATTCGAACTGCCAAATTATGGTTACAAGTTGAGGGCTACCTGTACTGGTTCATTTATAGATGTACTTGTGTTTATTTAAAGGTAAGGATCCAAAAAAAGGACTATCCATTTATATTAAAATACATATAATAAAAAACGAGCAACTCGGAACACAGATTTGGGTGAAAACTGATCCTTTTGCCTCTAAGACTCTCAGTTCCCACTCATGGCACTAAAAGTTCATGTCTCCATAAACAAATCTTTGTAAGGCCACACAACAATATTTTATCTCTTTAGACTACCTTTGGCTTGCAGGGAAGGGCAAGTTACTCTTTTTCCATAGTAGGTCAACAATGCGGATGTGAAGTCTCTGCAGTAAACAGACATTGGCCCATCAGGAGCCTGGTTGCTTAGCAATTAAGCCAAAATGAATGGTTTGGTTTTGGCTTAGTGCAATGAGCAAATCCAGTCATTGTGGTCTGAAATGGGATTTATGGTAGGGCTGGGCAACTCACAGCCCGTTGCCAAAACCTCTGTACCCACCCACTGGTTGTTTTGGTTGCCCCCAAGAGGGCATCCCTGGATTACAGTTTCCCACCATTTTTGACCCAGGAACTTGTAATATAAATCTTCAATAGGTTCAATGTGTCCTACAGATGTGTGATTGAGCATGAAGTATCAGCCATTATTCCTGGGCATTCCTTGGTGCAGGGAGAGCTTGCATGTTTCCATTCAAGCCCCGAGGACCAAGAAAGATGCATCGAGTTACTTCTGAGCCCTTCCTTTATTGTTCCTCACCTAGAGACAGAAAACCATGGGAAAATAAAACAATGCATTTGCAACACTGCATATACACCCTGGGAATTGCTAAGGAGGATCTTTCCTCATTTTCTTCCTCCCAACCCAACAATCCAAGCTTCACTGACTCTTTAGCCTCCAAAATGAGCCCCTCCATCCTGATAATATATTCCACCACACTCTCCAGTGTGAAAAGGAACTGATCCTTGTTCTCTATTACAACAATTTGAAGGCGGC